AATTAATCCCCCTTTTTTTATTTACTAAACACATATATAACCCTTTAAATTTAGTATTTTTTGTCAACTTGATACTTCAACATTTTAGATGATTATTTAGATACCTTTACATGATACATATGTGTATCGTGAACATCTCACGATGATATGTCAAATCATGTGTTTTATACTTAGCTTATATTAGTGAATTTACTAAGGAAATAATAAAATATAAATATAAAGGCAACACACACGCACACACACATACACACACGATACTAAATGTAAAATATATAATTAATTAAATATTAAATAGTACACATATCATATTATACTAATATTAATATGCATATACTAAATACTAATGCTAAATATATTAAATGTGGAACAATGTTAAGTCAAAAGTTAAAAAACAAAAATATCCGTGAAAAGTTGTTAGAAACTTTTACCTTTTAAAAACTAAATTAGGCATTGTTAAGCTCTTTAATTTTTTATATTTATTTTCATTTCTCTCTTTCAGCTTATTTAATACAATCTATATTTATCTATTTATTATTTATATTATAAAACTAGGCATAAACAAAGTGATGTGACACCTCTCTATAACTAACATTCTTATATATCCTTTGGGTAAATAGCGATTTTGATTCTTGCGTTGTTACCTCATTCCAATTTTATTCCTTGTGTTATTTGTCTAAGCACATTAAAACCTTCAATTATTTAAAATGTTTCGATTGAAATATATTTATATATATTTATAAGGAACTATATAAATACTAAACGTGACACCTTTAGAAACAATGAGCCGTATTGTGTCGGTGGTCAAAGCTCAAGTTATCACCTTAGGGATAGGGTTGCATGTTCGAGCCCTGCGTGGTACTCGAAAATTCAAAATTCTGAATCCCCCTCTTTGTTCAGTGACAGATGTCTTGTACCACCTTTCATGATTAACTATGTTTGAGAATGAATTTTAATATAGCGCTGAATAAACTACAACTCTATTTTCTATCACATATTTAATCATTTCCTCCTCCACTACTCAATTGCAAGTGATTGTTTAGTATAAAAAGAAGTTTTACGGGTCGGGTACCGGGTCAAATCATAATTTTTTGGGTTGAAATGAATTGGGGATTTAACATTTTCTTTTTTGACTAAAAATCAAGTGTGATATCAATAAATTTAGCCATATTACTTTCCAACTTGAGTAAGCTCTTGAATAAAATAATAAAAGAAATGTGACTTTTATGATATAAAAGAAAGAAAGATAATTTTTTTGATTGAACCAAAAAAAAAAAGTTACCTTTTTTATAATATAAAAGAAAAAAAATATTTCTTTACCAAATATGCTATTGAATTTAATAGTTTATAAGTATTTTTAGATTTTTAAAAAGTTAAAACTGATTCATATAATTTTATCGGCTTTGACAAATGATTAATAGATTTATGAATTTGTGATATAAAATTTTATTGACATGGACGATTAGTCCAGAATCTACAAATATTGATAGTATAGACTTGATCTCTATATATGAAATAATATTGCACCAAACTCGAAATAAGAGCTGGAACACTAAAAACAATTCAGTTTCTTCATAGCATAAGAATGAGATGTTGTGAACTTACCACAATAGAACAACAAGCTAGCATAGGTCATCCTAAACATGGAAGGAAATTCAAGAGCATCTATGCGCAAAACCTTCTAAAGTGAAATATATTTGTGAACACTTACTAGGATTTAAGTAGCTAGTCATCTGCAGGTACATTTTTAAAACAATAATTAAATGTTTACTTATATATCTGAAAATGACTTGCAACTTGCATCCTAGATGTTAAATCCAAAAAATGTAACTTTACTTCCATAAAAAATAACATAACAAGTGAAAACTTCAACAAAAAAAGATGAAAGATACTATGTGAATGCCATTCACATAGCTGAAAAAAAGAGTGCGGCGATTAAGAGAATTTAGGGTTTTGAGGGCTAAAGGAAGAACAATAGAGCTTTTATAGATCAGGAAAGACTTTGAACTTTTTAAGAGATTTTACATTTACCCCTCACAACTATATTAATTGGAAATTAATCCTTCTTTAATTTTATTTGCCCATTAAATTTAGAATTAAGTGTCAATTTGATACTTTAATTTTTTAAATAATTATTTAAATATCTTTACATGATGAATATGTGTCTCGTGAATATCTCACAATGACATATAAATCACGTGTCTTAAACTTTGCTTATACTTGTGAATTTGCTAAGAAATCAAAAGTATACATATATGAAACCACACACGCACGCAGCACGCGCACACACACGCACACGCACACACACTTATGTTGGTTATATATTTTTTTAGTATATACTCATATGTGGTTATATGTATATTTATTAAGAAAAATAGTTCTGTATTTTATATATAAGTGTATATAAGATGTTTTGAATACATAAAAAAATTAACGGCTAGAGAGTGATTCAGTTTCACGTATTGTAAATCATACTTTCTTCTCATAGAAATCAACTCCTAAACTTTAAATTATTTATTATTGTCTCATTGAGTTTTTCACGTCAACAAATTTCAAATTTAAATTTCTCACCACCATCTCACAAGAAAAATATTTACTACTCTCTTATAAAATATTACTAGCTATGTTTTCTAAAATTACTCTAGAATTCTCATTCTAAAGTGCTCTTCCCAATTCTGTAGACTTCTTTGATTATTTTATATTCTTTGTGAAATATCTTAAATATATGAATTAAGTTGTTGATGAATTTTTAAAGTAATTTATTATTGTATCATTGATAGAACTTAAAAATAGTTATATCATTAATACAAAAACGATTTTCAAAAATTATTATATGTCACGATCCAACTCATCGGGCCGTGCGGGCACCTACACACTAACACCTAAGTAGGAGAACCCTCATATCCCAATAGTGAAAATATGCGGAAGATTAACGAAAATGGAGATAAATAAAATCATAGGGTTTTCATAAATAAAACTTTTAAACAATTTAGAGTTAAAATTTGTAAAGTAACTAACAACCCCAAGAATCTAGTCTAAACAGGTACAAGAGCTACTAAGAGTGCAACTGGACATAATCAATAAAGACAAAGCTCCCACCATGCGGAAGGAAAAGTAGAAGCTGTTGGAGAATTCTTCGTCTTCATCTAATGAAACATCACCAACCTGCATCCAGACTATGCCAAAATACATAGCAAGAGTAGTATCAGTACAAACCATACGTACTGGTAGGCATCATCGGTCAACCCGACGCCCACCACATAACATAAGAAAACAACTAGTAAGATCTTGCAATAAAACCCCTCGCTTCTCCACCTTTACCCTCTCTCGAAATATCTTCGAATCACGTTAGTACTCTAACTACTAACCACCTTCTCAGTCAACCTACTTACTAGGTTCTTGATCATAGCCTCACCATTCTAACACATAGAAAAGTCCCCAAATACCACTACAAACATTCCAACTAACCGTTCACGTCATACCCTTACTTCATCTTCATATTACCAGTCATGGCCACATAGTACATTACGTCAAGCTTTCTAACCACTAACCACAAGTTCCTTTCTCCAAAGTTAAATCCACCTAAGCATTTACATCACGTACACTACCCTACATACCGTATCACATCCCGATTGGGTGTGCCCCTTCCGGTTCACTCAACATCAAGGTACATATCAATTTTACTTAACATAGAAAAACAATCAAACATAAGTCCTCATAACCATAAAACAACTCCGGAAAATACAACATCAATTATCATTACGAACAAGGTACAATTTCACAATCCTCAAGGCATACAATTATGTCAAATCATTGGTCCTCTCAGGGAACCCAAACCTAAACAGTTAGCATACCGGAACGGCGGACGTGGTACTTGATCTAATGATTATGCCGAAACGTGGCAACCGATCCAAGTTAGTGTGTCGGAACGCAACACCCGATCCATCCAACAAGCCACAATCACAATCACAAATCATATTCTCATAATCATACAATCAAGTCATGATTCATGGCATTCATCATTCGTATATCCTCTTTTACAATTAATGTGATCAACAATGCAACATTTGCATACATACACGTATCATAATGAAGTAAGAACAACATATACGTACCACATAATCATGCAATCACACCCATCACCATGAAGTATTCAACGACATATAACACTTAACCATAATTCAACCAACTTAGCCCTAGTTCATCACCTAAGGCTCCTTCCTATGATTAAATCATCTTTTGTTCGGTGCACAAAGGCCTACACATAGCTCCTACCATTGAATTACATTATATTACGCAGTGAGCACAAATTTATAACTACTCAATTAGTAAAACCTAGCCTACCTGGACGCCAAGCAGCTGCACGGAAGAATTGCAGATAATTTTCTGGTTTTCTGGACGACATGACGGTGAATTTGGCCAAGAATTCGCAAGATATCGCCATCCTCGCACTGGAATCTCTTCCTCCTTCTTTCCCAAGCTTGGAGCAACTTTTTGGAGGGTTTCTGAATTATTTACTTCTAATCTAGGTATTTTAGGAAGAAGGAGAAAATAAGATTTCATGTTATTTACATTCTACCTCGCCTATCCCCGCTCTGGCACTAACTTACCCCGCCGTAGTGCCGCCGCCCTAGCGGCATCTGCCCCTCCGGCGGGACAGTGACCCAGTATTTCTTGAAGTTTTGCTTTCTCTAATTAACGACGGTTCGAATCGTTACTTTATATTATTTGACATATAAGGAATTTCAAAAACTCTCGCTATATTTGATAAATATAGTTTATATGCCTAGTTAGGTATATAATTTCAAAAAAAGAATTTCTTGGAGTTTATAACTTATATATAACTATTCTGATTTGTGACTAGACAAAGTAGTTGACTATAACATGAGAGACTTGGCCACATTTTATCCACAAACACTTTATACATTCCATACAATATTTCTTTCTGATAAAATAACAAACACTAAAAAAAAAACCAAACACTATCTTCTTCTTCTGACAAGAAAAAAAATCAAGAAAATGTCAGTGGCATCATCATATACATTCCCTTGCATTAAATTCCAAAATTACCCTTCTTATTCAATAAAGTCTGCAATTCTTACTATAAGAAATTCTCAAGCTGAAGGTCCAATTAGAAGACCAGTTGCTCCATCACCACCTAAGCCTACTACTATTCCACCACCAATTATTACTACTAGTGCCCCTCCTAAGCCTGTGACTGTCACAACTTCTGAGGGTAAAAATGTAATTACACTTGAATTTCAGAGGCAAAAGGCTAAGGAACTTCAAGGATACTTTAAACAGAAGAAACTTGAAGAAGCTAATCAAGGCCCATTCTTTGGTTTTATTGCCAAGAATGAAATCTCTAATGGAAGGTACTCACGCCGTTTCAATTTGTTTGTTTTACTCTTTTTTTAATCTATTTTAAAAAGAATAATTTTTTCGGTGATTTTTTAATTTCTTCTTAGATAACAAAATTAAAAGACATTTTTCTATAGTTTACGTATCTTTAGTTTAAGATGATATGTTACTTTCTTAATCTTCGTGTCAAGTCAAAATCAGAAAAAAAAATTAAAATGAAAGAAGTAAAATAAAGAAGTTGATTCAAGAATTAAGGTTTGATGTAACTGTCTTTCTATTTTACTTCAATTTTGAAGTTGGAATGTGTTCATATTACCATTGGTTTTGGTATGATTTTAGCCTTACTTTAATGTGCCATTTGTGTGTGATGCTATATTGTTTTTGATATAAATATTGACTTACAAGAATGACATAGGCACATGTATGTATCTGATAAGTGGCGGAATCAGAAATTTTACTGAGGGTATTCTAAGGTTTAGTATATGTGGATGAAAAGTAATTTTTGTCTTATATACACAGTATATTTTACGATAAGTTGTTCAACGAACCAAGCTTTGCTCTGTATGGCTATGTTGCCACTAGCTCTGTTAAGTGTTAAGTACCTACCTTTGGCATGTGGATATAGGCGTTCAAGAATCTAATATCATTCCATTTGACAATCTCTTTATAAATGAAATAACATAACAGAATGTATAATGAAACAGAATGTGCAGAAATTAGTGCAAGTTTGGTTACTATACACATTCTTTGAACTTGATGTTATGGAAACACATGTATGTGCAATTTGAATAGTTACATTTTGCTATGAACCTCGTGTTTGGATTGTTTGTAATTTCTAACTCGTTGAGCAGATGGGCGATGTTTGGTTTTGCTGTTGGGATGTTGACAGAGTATGCAACGGGTTCTGATTTTGTCGATCAAGTTAAGATCCTTCTCTCCAATTTTGGTGTTGTAGACCTTGAATGAGACTTTTGCTGTATAATATTTGTTTGAGCCACAATTGTTGTATCTTACAACTCCTTTTTACTTTTCAAGAAATATATATATATATATATCAAGTCTGATAAAGATTCTCATACTTGGGCTACAAATTTTTTATTTGGTTTCCCACTCGGTGTTCTGAGCCCACATTAAAGCTCCGACTAAATTCAAATCGCGCACTACATGGCCCATTCAGGGGTAGCGCTCCCAACATAATTTTCTCCATACCCAGGCTCAAACTTGAGACCTGGGTGAAGCACTTCCAACAGTTCACCAAGATATGTGACTGGACATGCTTCTACCTCCATCTCTTATTCCAAGTTCTTTTTACTTTAAGCATTTATAATTTTCGATATAAGGACCTTCTCTTTTTTTTTTTTTGATATAAAGACATTTGTTTACCATATAAAGAAATATTTAGACATTTTTTTAGCATATAAAGAGGTTTTATGGGGTGGATACTAGATCAATTAGCAGTTATTATTATTTTTGGTTAAAATGAGTTGGGGGTTAGCATTTTTTTAGGCTAAAAATTAAATAACAAAGTTGTTACATTTACCCAAATATATATCACTTTTCAGCTTGAGTAACCTTTCGAATAAAATAGCATACTATAGGTGATTATTATGATATGAAAAAAAAGATAATCTTTTGAGTAAATAACAAATAGTAAGTGAATTTTCTAGTATAAATAAAAAAAAAAATTGTTACCAAAACAATTTAACACGATGGTCAATAGATCTAAAAATTTGTGATATACAATTTATTTGGGGAAAAAGAGTTGTTGTTTTTTTTAAAAAAATATTATTATTATTGTTATTTTAGGTCAGTGACCACGGTAAATAAGACATAAAGAAGAGAGTTCAGTTACTAAAATATTTGATAACACAAGAAATTTATTTTTTATGAGATGAGTTAATATTAAGACATAAATAAGACATAATGTAAACCTAAGCTATTTGTATTTAAGAAAAAGGACAAAGATCAAACCTGATAAGTTTTTGAATACTTAAATGACTAAAATTGGTAAGTTTATAGTTAAGGGACTAAAACTGGTAAGTGTATAGTTAAGGGACCAAAGTTGATAAGTTTTTGAATAGTTAAAGAACTAAATACGTCAAGTCAAGTGTGTAATTAAGGAATCATTTTAGTATTCCTATAGTTAAGGAACTATTTATCTCATTTTTTCTCTCAAAAGTCAAATCCCTAAAATGTAGTGAAAATATTTTGACGACTCCTTTTTTTTTACTCTTGCTTACCGTAATTAAAAAAGTTAAACAAATAATATATATATATATATATATATATATATATATAAATTTTCAATCTTGTAGTCTTAAAATAAAGTTATGTTAAATGTACCAAAAATCTCTTTAATTTTGTGACCATAAACATGACAAGTGAAAAACTGAAATTAAAGTATTACCAAAAAAGAAAAAAATCATTCATTTTCAAATAGACTAAAAAAGGAAAAAAAATCATTGTGACCTTAAACATGTCAAGTGAAAAAACTGAAATTAAAATATTACCAAAAAAAAAAAAGATCATTCCTTTTCAAACAGACTAAAATAGGAAAAAAAAATCATTATTATAGAACTTGAGAGAGAATTTATTCTGACTGACTTTTGACCAACGGTCAATAGATTTAAGAATTTGTGAACATATTTTACTATTTAAAGGATGCACAAAGTACAAAAATAATATCATATCACTAATAGATTTTTTTTTAAACAGTAATTGTGATGATGAAGAATGTTGCCTCAAATAATGTTTTTCTTTTGAAGACCCTTTTTTTGTTATGCTCTATTTTAATAGTAACACAAGGTAAATACACTTTTTTTTTCACGAGTCATATTTATTCCAACTTGCATGTATATAATATATTGTTAAATAACTTATTATTTTTCATTTTTTTTGTTATATGAATTAGCATCAAGAATTGGAAGAAGAGATTTTGAATCAAATCAAGCTTATGCAAGTGGAATTGATGTTTTCAAAATGGAGAAAAATACAAATATTCAGCTTGATGATTCAATAGTAATTGACTATGCACCAGTTCATCAATCGCCAAGTGTACATCACGATCGACCACCACCAAATGATCGTCGTTCGATATAATTTATGAGTCTTTTATTGAATAATATTGATATTTAGTAAAATTTTCTGATGTGTGCTTCTCATAAGGTGTTTGTATGCCGATTTATTAGTCTTCTTATGTCTTTGTTGTTTCGATGTTTGACTGAACTCTAATGCATAGACGAAACTTCAAACGTGTATTTTTTTTAAATTATAAAATTTTTCTAGAAAAGTATTCCTTATTTTAACTTTTTAATCTTTTTTATGTTTTATTTGTTTTCCTTTTACTATTTTTTAGCTATTCGTCCTAAAGACTTTTACTAAAATATATCAATAAAGAAACACAATCTCCATATTTTTTAGATTATGTATGAAACTGATAGGATTTCTGAGGTTTTTATTCAATTATTGTTACACATTTTATCTTTAGACTATTTTGAAATATATATAAATAATAATAATAATAATAATAATAATAATAATAATAATAATATTAGTTGAGGATGGAAAAGACTAGAAAATATGGAGATTAGGTGATGAAATTGATGATGATTTCATTATAAATATTTTCTCAATTATTATAATTTTTATGTTGTTATCTTTCTCAGATAGTATATTTTTTTTTCTATATTATTTGTGATTTATTTGCAAAATTATTGAAAATTTTGCTTTTGATTTTTTTTTTCTTAGTCATACAATTATTAAATTAATGATACATGAAATATACGGCTCCAAAGATCTATGAGACTTACTCCTCGCCTCGTATGTGCTGCCTAGAGCTAGGGGTGTGTATCGGTCGGTTCGGTTCGGTTATAAGTATTATCGGTTCGGTTTATCGGTTTTCGGTTTTTAAATATGCTAAACCGATAACCAAACCAATAAGATGTTGTTATCGGTTTTCGGTTTATCGGTTTTAGGTCTTTAACGGTTCGGTTTTTGGTTTAACCAATAAGAAAATGCTTTCAAAACAAATATATGACTTATCCAATAATTTGACGCGATACGCATACATCGAAATAATCATTCCAAACGGGACAACAAGGACCAACTTGTTGTATTTTGGTCATCACAACAAAGACTTGGTTAATTTTCGATCACCATAGTATATATGAAACGAGGTCCCTTTTATGCAATAAAGAGAATCAAATAAAACCAAATCATAGACAAAAGTCAAAACAGTAGCAAATGAGGCCATGCTTATGGTAACTAAATGAAGTTTTACGTTATTTAAAAAAAACACACACACACACAATTTGAATTCCTGACGTTAATCAAATTGCAGATATTTACAATCGTGCAAAAGCTAATATTAGTCAATTATAAACTAACTAAAGTAAATAAGTAATACTAAAAAGTAAAACCTAAAGGTTAAATAACTAAAAGTAGAGAGGAGAGTTAATTGTTAAGTAGTGTTAATAATTGCGTAGGATTTTATATTTTTAGTCTAATATACTACTAATTATATTAATATTTTTTAAATATATTATATCTATGTATAACTAAAAATTAAAATAGTAAATTATTATATTCTTAATGGGTTATCGGTTAACCCAATAACACAATATTAAAAACCAATAACGAACCGATAACCCAATTTTTTTTTTTTGTAAAACCATTAAATAACCGTTATCCCAATAACCCAATAACAATAAACCAATAACACTTTTTTCGGTTCGGTTTATCGGTCGATTCGGTTTTTGCACACCCCTACCTAGAGCGCCTTGCCTGGCACCCCCTCCTTTTAAATCACTGGTCACTACAACAAATAAAATTTTTAGCAGTAATAATATAATTATCGCTATATTATATTTAGCAACAATAATTTATATAGATATTTATAATCAAAACTTTACATAAATGTCGCTAACTCTGAATAAAATGACGTTAACTCAATTACCGTTAAATATTTTTAGGACAATATTTATCATCGCTATATTTTTTAATTGTCACTAATATCTCTTTTATTATAGTGAGTGTTGATTATAAGGTTTTTGATTTTTATGATTTGAGCTTTATTACTTAGTTATGGTATCTTGGAGAAATTGAGACTGATTTTGGCTTGATTATTAGACATTAAGGGGTCGTTTGGTAGACCGCATTAGAAGAAATAGTCCATGTATTAGGTAAGGTATTATTTATTATTATGTTTGGTAGGAATTTGGGCATATGTATAACTAATCCATGGATTAGTTATACCTCATACATGGTATTATAGGATGTATTACTAATACCTTTCATTTGGAGGTATTAGTAATACATAGGATATAATACCATGGGATAAGCCTATGTAAAGACAAAAATATCCCTCAAATCATTTTAATTATTTTGTTTATTTTCTTGATTTTATGATTTATATTTGTACTAGTAGATTTATTTAAATAAATTAGCTTACAAATTATTTAGAGAGAATTGTTTGTTACTAAATAAATTCAATACAAATTTGAAATGGGAGTTGTTTATTTGTATATGACGTTTGTGATCTTAATTGAATGTGTGTGTATGTATGTGTATATATATTTGTGTGGTTTTCTAATTATTCGTATTTTGAAGAATTTAAAACATACATACATATTAAAACTACAACTTACAATTTTTATGTGTAAATTTAGATAGTTTATTCAATTTTACCATTGTTGACCGTCTTTTTATTTTAATAGTAGATGATTTATCTTTTTTAAATTGAAAAATGACATCTTGTGAGCGATCAATTTATTAAGATGACAATTATTTATCCTCAAATAATTCAAGTGAAAAAATAGCAAACATGATAACAAAATTGTTCTTCTCATAGCTAGTTAGAAGGCCATAAAAAATAATTTTATCCAACAATTATCTACCTTGACCCAATTACCTAATAATTTAAGGGTATAATTGGAAAGAAGATTTTTATAGAATTTTAATCCAAACACAAGATGAGGTGAGAAATAATGAACCAAACACTTGATAAAAATAAACCCTGCACTACTAATCCTTGCATTGCTAATTCCTGCGTTACTAATCCCTACGTTATTAATCTTTGTACCAAACGACCCCTAAATTTTTAAAGGTGAGTAAGCTTGATGAACTTCCTATACTGAGCATTTCAATTCTCAAAGAGTTCTCTGATCCCAAGAGAAAGTCATGTAGATGTCATATAGAAAAGGGTAAAGGGTCAAAGATGCCTCTAAACTATTCGAAAAGGTCTAGATATACTCTCCGTTTAAAGTTTGGCTCACTCGTGCCCTCGCCGTCCAACTTTTCGTCTAGATATTCCCTTATGGGCATTAGTTGGCTTGCTGGACATATCCAGCTCATTTTCCATTTCTTTAAATGCCACATGGAATTGTCATGT